GGTTTAACTGTATTTCTATATGTACATACAATTGTGATGGGCGGGAGATGACTGTGAGTACATCTCGAGAAACCTAGTCTCCCAATATTACGCTATAGCATTTACCCTAGAGCATATTACGCTAGAGCTAGATCATATTACGTTAATGCTAGATCATATTACGCTAGAGTTAGTATTTCAAACCAAGTTGATGTGCAGGTACCGTTCCAGAAGTTCCACCGAGTGCTGGCCCGCCACCACCAGCCGGTGATGTACATGTACCAGTACTCGCTGCCGCCCGCTGAGACCGTCGATCCACCTTGTGAGACACCTCTACTACTTCACAACCGTTAAATTAACACACAAACATATACTCATGGACAAAACTTGAGCAAGTTTCATATTTTGATATCGCTGGTCGCCTATTTTTGAGAAAGAGACAGAGGCAACACACACACAACACAAACACCAAAAACACACAATACACAAAACACAATACAAAACAAAACAAAAACACAACACACAATTTTGTTCACACTTGGTTATCTCGTGTGTACCCAACAAAGATCACTATAATATCTTTCAGAGTTATTGTCTGAATCCCGATATACACGCTAAAAGGTACAACTTCCTTAAGTTTTGTCCTAAGTGTTTTTTGGTTCCACACATATTGTCTATATAGATATACCCACATAATCTTCTTGCTTTTATTGTTCTTTGACGATTGGATGACCTATAATCGTCTGCTTGTATAGAATTCTAAAAGTTCCAGAAGTCTGAAATTTTGTCAAATTTCATTGCCATTAGGTTTGAATAAGCGTTTAAATTTCAGACATCTATATATAGGGCTGTGTGTGCTCTGTATCTAAAAAATATCGATGACAATTTTGTGGATAAGCAGACAGACAGACATGTGGTGGTGGTGGAGTATTTAGATGCGTTTCCTGTTGATGGGACATCTGAAGTAGGTAGGACTGTTAACATTTAGCTGGACATAGTGGGATTCATGTCTTGGGTACCAGGAGTTCAGAACTCCAGACATACTGTCCCGTCCAGGGTCACCCTCCCCCGCCACTTTGAGGCAGTTAGCATGTCTTGGGGAGGAGACAGACATGTGGAAGCAAGTTAAGTAAAATATATAAAAAAAGGGATATTATTTTGATGGAGGCTAAGAGAGAAATGATTAAAAAGGGCACGAACAAGGCGTATGGATGGCAGATATAGTGAGATTTTACAAGAAATCAACATCAGCGTTTTAAGCGAGAATTTATACAATTCTACATTCTATAATCCATGCAGAATCACCTTACCCAATTCTTTTAGATTTATGTGCATTTAAACTACTGAATACAAAGACTAAAAAATAGAGACTGTCTTTAGTTGACGACTTCTGTAAAAGTTTCATGAAGCTTAGGAAGAAATCAATATATAAGTCTAATAACATAAACAACGTATCGTTATGTTTTTAAATGTTCAATTAGCAATAATAAACTAAATATAAATAAAACTTGAAATAATACATGTATAGCGTTTCAAATTTGCTATTTCAGGGAATAGCACTATGAATATATTTACACACCCAAGATAGAGGACTTTGCGACTGCTGTGATAGAGATGTATGGAGACATCTGAGGCTCTTTATTGGACACGCAAGCAACAATGCCCATCTATATTTTAGTTTTATTTCAATTTTTAATGTAAATTATTGACAAGAAGTCAATAAAATTTGTTTCAATTGTCAACAATAAGGTATACACACCCAAGATAGTAAACATTGCGACTGCTGTGATAGAGATATATGTGGACATCTAAGGCTCTTCATTGGACACGACAACAACAATACAGTATACACACCCAAGATAGTGGACATTGAGACAGCTGTGATAGAGATGTAAAGGGACATCTGAGGCTCTTCATTTGACACGGCAACAACAATACAGTATACATATCCAAGATAGTGGACATTGCAACTGCTGTGATAGAGATGCATGGGGACATCTGAGGCCCTTCATTGGACACGACAACTACAATACAGTATACACACCCAAGATAGTGGACATTGCAACTGCCGTGATAGAGATGTATGGGGACATCTAAGGCTCTTCATTGGACACGACAACAACAATACAGTATACACACCCAAGATAGGACATTGCGACTGCTGTGATAGATATACATGGAGACATCTGAGGCTCTTCATTGGACACGACAACATCAATACAGTATACACACCCAAGATAGTGAACATAGCCACTGCTGTGATAAAGATACATGGAGACATCTGAGGATCTTCATTGGATACGACAACAACAATACAGTATACATATCCAAGATAGTGGACATTGCGACTGTTGTGATAGAGATGTATGGAGACATCTGAGGCTCTTTATTGGACACGACAACAACAATACAGTATACATATCCAAGATAGTGGACATTGCGACTGTTGTGATAGAGATGTATGGAGACATCTGAGGCTCTTTATTGGACACGACAACAACAATACCTATATACACCCAAGATAGAGGACATTGCGACTGCTGTGATAGAGATGCATGGAGACATCTGAGGCTCTTTATTGGACACGACAACAACAATACCTATATACACCCAAGATAGAGGACATTGCGACTGCTGTGATAGAGATGCATGGAGACATCTGAGGCTCTTTATTGGACACGACAACAACAATACCTATATACACCCAAGATAGAGGACATTGCGACTGCTGTGATAGAGATGCATGGAGACATCTGAGGCTCTTTATTGGACACGACAACAACAATACCTATATACACCCAAGATAGAGGACATTGCGACTGCTGTGATAGAGATGCATGGAGACATCTGAGGCTCTTTATTGGACACGACAACAACAATACCTATATACACCCAAGATAGAGGACATTGCGACTGCTGTGATAGAGATGTATGGAGACATCTGAGGCTCTTCATTGGACACGACAACAACAACTCTGAATATTTGGAACATATATAGCTACATGAACCAATGCTTTTATTTAGCTCTCTACGTTTCAGTGACTCGTCCTCTCCTCAAGAGAATGAGGAAAGAAAATGACAGCGAGTCATTGAACGTCGGGAAATAGATAAAACATTGATTCATGCAGCCATATATTTTCCATATGAACTTTCAACCAACAAATGATTCTCAAAACTCAGCATGTACATATTTGACGCTGTCAAAAGCACGAATATGTTCAACAAAGTATTTTTTATTTAGAATTTCTTGATAAATTCAAGCACTAAACATCATTAAACACAGGTCATCTTCATTATGAGTATGTTAATAGCTTACTAATTGGTTTTTGATCATAATTGCAATGTTATGTTGTCAGGTGACCAGGGAGGAGCTGTTGGGAAATGGATAATAGAAAAAGCTTTCCTTTGGCTAAACAGGTAAATTCTTTGTGTTCTTTATACCAGTGATGTAATATATACACACACAAGCCTTTATTAAGACATTCCGTCTTATAAGACGATTCTCCTGTTATAAATGAATCTAAAAAAGAAATAAGAAGCAGGGGAAGAAATTTAATCCTCGCTCAAAAAAAGAGAAAAAGAAGAAAAGGAAAGAATATCTATGTATAAAAGTTGAACTATATACATCGTTTTTCGTGCATAGAACACAGTGAAGAAGTAGACTGTTGGGTAAATGGTTACATCTTGTGAAGAAAAAAATATTTCCACACAGTTCAATTACTTTGTTAGGTCTTTTTTACTTCCTTGTAGTACCAGTGATGTAATATGTATTTCTATACCTTGTATAATAATATGTTTTAGGATGTAGACATCTACATTACCATAACTATATTGTAAGATTATAAACTCAGCTTCTTCTATAGATAATGTTTATTTTGCTAGCTTTCGAACGACATCGTTATTCAACGGTCGTAAAGACTTTATTTGTAAGTTTATGTAAGTTGTCTTTACGCCCATTGAAGAACTATGTCCTTCGAAAGCTAGCTAAAAATTGTTGTTGTTACTTATTCCTCAAGTCGTTTAAACGATCTCCATTAGGTTCCATTGTCTCAGCTTTTCTATTATAGTCCTGGGGTTTTCTCAGAGGTCTTTTTTTGAGGATTTGATACAATTCAATAGATGTTCAGGACTGGCTGATTGGGAATCGTATTTGGGGCATTTCGAAAAATGTTTTGATTTTTCCATTAAATTAGAGCATTCTAAGATGTCCTGTTTGTAATCTTGAAATTACCGTTTGTTCTTCCCTAGTAAGGGTGTGGAAAGAAGATTCGTTAGGAATGGGGATGTACCAGGGGTGATTTAGGGTGGATTTCCAGAGATAAATTAATTTTTGTTTTTGGATGGAAGAAATTTCAGAATAGGTGAGTTGGGAGTTTTCAGGCTGGCCTTTACAGCCTTCTTTAGCCAACTGGTCAGCCATCTCGTTGCCGTCTATGTTAACGTGAGAGGGGATCCATTGGAACGTGATCTGGTTTTCCTGTGAGATTTATTTTGAGGAGAAGAAGCTCCTTTTTAGTTTATAATCTAACAATACAAATATGATGTTTTATATCTCCATCTGTTGTAAGAAATATAAACTATTTTTGACGCGTGGGTCTTTTTTTTTTAAATAAAACAATATTCTACTGCTCTTACTGCAATGATAATAATTAATAATTAAAATACATATAGAAAAAAACAGATAACCCAGAAGTTTGAATATTTGTCAACTTACATTGTCATCGGGGTCTGAAAAGTGTACCAAATTTAATATTACTACGTGTTCTAGAAGTATATTAAAAATTGATTGCAAGATTTGTGGACAGACAGACGGACAAGCAGGGAAGTAAGTTAAATAAAAGATTTTAATAATGGGAGGGCTCACTACTGATAAACATGTCCCTCTCATTATTATATCATTGAAGTAAGGGCAGTAGACATACCTGGTTTATGACATTTAAAAATTATCCCGCATGTGTTTCTTTTGAACGAAAAATCGAAATTTATTTTAAGGTGAAATAACGATTATTTCTAACCTTATTTTTTAGCCTAGTGGACATGGCATCTGCCCGGTAAGCGGAACACTGTGGGTTCGATTCCCATCCCTGGACACTTTTATTTTTCCGTTTATCATTACTCTTCACAATTCATCCTTTCATACTTCATCCCTAAGGTTAGAAATAATCGTTATTTCTCCTTAAAATAAATTTCGATTTTTCGTTCAAAAGAAACACATGTGGGATAATTTTCAAATGTCGTTCTACATTCATAAGCCGCATTATATTGTATTATAATATATATTGTATATATTAGGATTATATAAATATTATGCCTCACTAATTGTGAAAATGTATTCACAAATTTATTATATTTATATACATTAAAGGATTTTAGATTTCTGAGATCAATTATCATTAAAAAGTATGAGTAAAAGTAATTATAATTTTAAAAAGAAGAAACTATACAGTAGAACTTGAATAATTCTAACATCTTTAATTCAAATATTTATCTTGGTCTCTAGAATTTCCTATAAATAGAATTTCCGTTTTTAATTCGAATTTTTGGATAATTAAAAAAAAATCTTTTTTTTTTTTGGTTCCTTGAGCTTTGAATTATCCAAGTTCAACTGTAAAATGTAAAAAAAATAAGTGAAGGAAAAGTTTAAGAAAATGTTCCTATTAATTTAAAACTTTATAAAAAATATGATCAAGTCACTCTTTTTTTTTTTTTTTTTGCTTATCCCTAGAAAACGTGATTCAGGCAATGCTAATCATGATGGGTAGAAGAAGGCGACTGCTTTTACTGTAAATGCACCACATGTCTACACATGTGAAAATCAGTTCGACTTTGTACTTACAAATATGCCATAGCACCGTTTGGTTACTTGCACTCGCTGGTGGGGTTAGATTTTTTGCAAGAATCGGGGGCCATTGAAGCATTTTTTTTTATCATGAAAAAGTGCCCAATGCGGGAATCGAATCCGAGTCGTAGCGGTCGAAAACCAACGGTTTAGACCATCCTTCCACCGACCCCTGAAATTCCTCGATATAACTCCAGAAGTGATATTTCATAAGCTGAAGGGATGTAAAGTCAAACCTGTCTTGGGAGTTTTCCTGTCTTAACAAACGGCATTTAGCAGTATTAATTTGTTTTCCATTAATTTAGTTTTCTCAGATATCTGACTCTGCCCACTCATAAAAAATGTAAGCCCTTAAAAGTTAAATATGTTGAAATTTATAATACAATATAATGCGACTTATGATTATAGAAAAATGTTTAACAATTATCTCCGCAAATGTTTCTTTTGAACGAAAATTCGTAATTTATTTTAAGGAGAAATAACGATTATTCCTATCCTTAGGGATGAAGTATGAAAGGATGAATTGTGAAGAGTAATGATGAACGGAAAATTAATTCCCATCCCTGGACACTTTTATTTTTTTGTTCATCATTACTTTTCGCGATTCATCATTTCATACTTCATCCCAAAGGATAGGAATAGTCGTTATTTCTCCTTAAAATAAATTACGATTTTTCGTTCAAAAGAAAGATTTGCGGTAAAACTTGTCAAACGTCGTTCTAGAAATATGTTGAAAATCTTATACTAAGAACATTATTAAAATGTATACACATATTATGATTAATAACGAAGCGAATTTGAAATTTAATTAAAACACACTATAATGTGAAAAAAATAGTACTTTATAGCCTTTTTCTTAACACACTATAATGTGTTTAAATAAAAAAAGGCATATATTGGATCAAAATATCATTTATTTTTACCAATATTTCAGTTGGCTTAACGCCAACCTTTATCAAGGTATGTTATAATACCTTGATAAAGGTTGGCGTTCAGCCAACTGAAATATTGGCAAAAATAAATGATATTTTGATCCAATATATGCCTTTTTATTTAAAGATTTATTTATGGATTGCTCTATTTTCAAAACTATAAGGTGTTCTTCACAATTATACCTCGTCATTAGTAATATATTTTAACCTATGAATTTTTGTATTATTCCTTAAAAAAACATATCATTATATTCAGATGAATATTGTATGAGGCTGATAACCTAAATAAAAGGTATTGTGTATGACTGCTTGGTAGCCTTTTTACCCGCTCTTTTTTAAAAAATTACATCCTAGTTAAAGTGTGGATACGTATAGAGAAACAGAGGGTTGTGGTGTACTGGTTGAATTCGCCTTAGTATTTTACGATTATTTGGGATTTGATCTTCTGGAGAATACATATTTAATAATATAATAACATGTAGTATCAATATTAAGAAAGAAAAAAGGCATCTTCCTTATAATGAAACTGATAGTTCCTGATGGCTTGCGCAATCTATCGGAATAAATATCAACTGATAAAGATGGCGCAAGCCATCAGAAACTTTCTGTTGCAAGATAAGGAGATGCCTTTTTTTTTTTCTTAATTTATGCACCTTATCCCAGTAAAATATCACATTTGTACTATTTTTTTTACATAGTATGTATATTTATTTCATTTTTTATCATTTCATTATTCATTTTTTCTCGTGTAAAGCTTATTTACGCAAGTTTGGCCTTGAATACCCATTTCTTGGTTTTTGAAGAAGCCTCTGGGACCAAAAAGATTTTTGGTCGCAGTGGTACAGTCTACTCCACGATGACGAGCGCCAAAAGCGCGAAACGCGTTCGTGGATGGCTTTTCTTGATTTATCAAGAAATTGGGTTAGCCAAATATCAGGGAACAGGTTAAATCAATGTTTAGTTTATATCTGTTCCACCAGATGGCGCTTTGCCTTCTGTAAAGCACATGTGCTTCTGGTCAGGATATTCCATTTTTATTTTTAGTATGTATATGTAATAGAAATGCTGTCCCTATTTTAGAGAATTAATCCAATTCTATTATAAAGTAACCAAATGGGACACTGACAAGTTAAGCAGATCTTTATTTATTGGCATCAACAACAGAATCGAGAGGGATCTTTGAAAATTATGAAAGCGCATTGAAATAATCCTCTTTTTGGACTGTGGTTTTTGATACGAGCGTATTCCTCGGCAGAGATGGTGTACCAGCCGAAGGTGAAGAGCCTGTTCTTGCCGTTGTAGCTCGCTCCAATCTCCATCGCCGAATAGAAATAGACGCGGCAGTTGGAGCTGTGGACCGCGCAGCACACCGCTCGGTCAAAGTCAGGATTCCTCGAGCTTGGCTCAAGCTCCTCCAGTTCTAGGAGAATGTCGCGACTTCCAGGAGAAACTTCCTTCTGATCAATTCTTAGAAGAAATGGTACGCCATTGATTGTACGTCTCCCAAGTTCTTTCTTTCTAAGATTATCAAGATCGATGTCTGAAGCAATGACGGTTACATTAGGAAGATCCTTATCGTTCTTGTTGTGAATTTGTAGAGCAAGAATGGTCGTCATTTCATCCATGGTACGACCATCGTCCCAAATTTCTCGTTCGAAAATCGACGAATTTGGTTTTCCAGAAGTCACATGCAAGCAAAATATATCTTGAGAATCATCTTGCAATATCTGGAATTGCTCAGCCATATTTTGGTGGCATTTTGAAACTTTGTTCGACCGAATTTGTAATTCACTTTGAATACTCTTCAGATTCTCTACTGATTGGCCTTCTCTTGAAGTACTTTGCACTAAGCATTCAATTTTCCGAATGTTAGTACTCGACGATTTCTTCAATTTTTCAAGAGCATCATCAAGATCTCTCAGACGATCCTTGATAGTCGCTACTTCTTCTTTAATGGTGTCCTCCACGATATCCTCTTTTCTCGTGGTATTATCCGTGGTAGCTTCGTCCCAGCAGTCCCCTTTCAAATTTAGCGAATCCATCCTAGATGGTTTAGATAGCAATTTACAAATTTGAGGCTGGCGAGATTTGAATTATTTATTTAGAGATTTGATTAATTGTTTCATAAAAATATATATATTTGCCTTAATATATCATTTTGATATTTACTTTAATACTATTATTATATAGTTCAGAAAAAATACAGCCATATAAACCAATGGTTTATTTAACTCTCTACGTTTCAGTGACTTCTTTTCATTATCTTCAGGGGAATGATTTAGAATCCTATTTCTAATTATACACGGTTTTCTAAAATAGATCTATTTTAGAAAACAGTGTATGTATATAAGTAGAACTAGGATTCAAAATCATCCCCCTGAAGATAATGAAAAGAAGTCACTGAAACGTAGAGAGTTAAATAAACCATTGGTTTATATGGCTGTATTTTTTCTGAACCAACTTCCAACCAAAATATTATCTTCGGAACTATATATTGTGCCACGTGGAAAATTAGGGAAGACAAACTTCAGGATGAGGCAACAATTTATTTCAGGCAAGAACAAACTATGAATGGTAAACAAAATATAAGCAAAAGAGGTAGTGTACAGAGTATAGAAAAATATAAACATAAAAAATAATACTCTGCTAATAAAATAATAAATACTTTGTTACAATATAGTTGCATATCTGCGCAGATTTAATTCATTGAATATTGTTTGGCCTATGGCCCTCATCACGCGAAACGGGCGGTTTCAATTTGCTAACAACCTACGAGAAAATATATAAAATCGGCCAATCTGATCGAAAGGCATTTTGTCTGGTTTAATGAGAGGACCGATTCCATTCAGAATGCATTGTTAACATTTAGATAGGATACTCTAAAAGACATCGCTACCCTATATAAATAAACAAGAAACATCATTTAAATACAATATATATATCCTCTTTTAAATCAAACGCTTATAAATTCACTAAGTATAGAGGAGACCCTCTCACTGTAAAACTATATTTGTTAGCGTCTTGAAAAGAAGCGAAAATTCTATTTCAAGATTTTATACTCGTAATTATTTAGTGTAGTTAACCTTGTGTCTTTGGCAAGCATGACTCTCCTGCAGTCTACCATGATATCATCTATTTTCTTGGAAACTAACGGCATTGGGTTTTTAGCTATGTTGTCGTGATTCCAATGGATTGGTTTAAATTAACAAACAATAGCATTATTGAATTTAGGATATATAATCCTTTGCTAGCACTTTTAGACAATAAAGTAAACGTCTAAGGATAAGTATATTTTATTAAATGTTTTCGAGCTTTCGGGAT